GCGGGAGAAGAGGAAGCGCTGGGGCCCTGCGGGACGGTGCTGGGCTCCATCACCCTGCCTGCGAGCTGTGGGGCTTGGCACCGCCGGCGCCGGACGGGTCTGGTGGGTCTCTGCGGGCAGCACAGAGCCAGGTGGTGCCCAGCTCCGGCCTCTTCCCCACCAACAACCGGCCCCAAGCGTCGTGATCCATCTCGGCTCGTGGAGAGATGGGTCAGGGCTGGATTGTGCCACATCGGGGAGCGTTACCAGGACACGTAGCCCTTCTGGGGGCTCCCCGAGCCAGGCACCCTTCACCCAGGCTCTCTGCAGCACCATGGCCACAAGCAAGGCTGATGCTGCTCTGCCACGGTGGAGGTGCGTGGTGGGATCCTGCCTGGGTGGCTCCCAGTCCGTGGGGCAGACGGGAGCTGGCACGGTGGGAGCAGGGTCCCTGCCAGGGATAGTCCCACATGGCGCAGGGACAGCGTGGACCAGCTGCGTGGCACAGACTGCTCTGGCTACCGGTTTTGCCAGGATGGCACACAGGGAAGCTGGTACCTTTGGGCATAGGCCGTCTGGTCAGAAGTGGAGGGCTCAGGCTGGATGGGTGATGTTGTTAAAAATCATTGCATCTTCCTGCCTTTGAAAAGAATTTGGGGGCCCCCGGGGTCACTAGAATGCTTGTCTCCCAGCCTTCGGGCATCAGCGCTCTCCCTCCCTGTAGCTTCCCAGCTAAGCTGTCCTTGTGCCAGGCTGGTCCGTCGGGAAATGCTGTTCCTGTCCCCGGCCGAGCAGAGCAGCTTGTTTATGGAGGCGAAGGCAGACACTTGACCTGGCCGGCTCAGGAAGCGCAGTGTAAACATGAAGGATCACATCTGAGTCGCTGTTCCCCTTCAGGCAGCGTCTGTGGGGCTCTGCTGGCAGAGGCGACCCAAGAGCTTGCAGTTTGTTTTTAGGGACGTAGCCAGGATGGTACCATATGCTTTGCCGGCCGCCCTGGCACGCTGCGGGAAGGATCGCTTCCCTGAAGGCTCCCGCCTGCATGCGGGGACGCTGCAGGGATGGCACGGACCAGCTCTGTGAAACCTCGCTGCAGGGGTCCTGCGTGGTACCCCCAGGTGCTGGGGGTCAGACGTGGCTAGAGACCCCCCTCACCGAGGGACCAGTGCAGGCTGATGGGGCGCAGGTTGTGGGACACTTCCTCCTGGGGTCTCCGAAGGGGTCCAGACCCATTCCCCGTCCCCCGCTGCAGCTCCCAGCCTGCCGGCTGGCTGCAAGGAAAGGAACCTCAGCAGGAGAAGAGTTAACGGGTCTGCTGCCACCGAGCAGGCTGCTGTGACAAGGACCAGAGGAAGTGCTGCAGGAGCTGCTGCGCTCTGTCAGGCCTCAAAAGGAAGCCGTGCAAGGAGAGGAAACACGGGGCTCAGTCCTTTTGGGGCTGTGCACGCAGCTCCCTTCCCTGCAAAGGGCTCTGCCCTTGCCCTGCTTGCAGGGCATCCACCGCTCCGGCCGCCTGCCGCAGCTCTCTGCCCTGCCTGTGGCATATCCCAGCATCCCCCCGCTGTGCCAGCCTCCGTGCATCTGCAGAGCAGGTGGCAGGTTGCCGAAATCTCAGCTGGCCAAGCGTTTGGCTGTGAACCTCAGAGTGCAGATGCGCTGCTGCCATGGCACCCTCTAGGCAGGGACGTCCCCATCACCACCACCCTGGTGTCTGTTCGCACAGCGGGTGAGCTCCATGGGACACCAAGGGATGGTGTCCTCCCGCCCCGGTGTGTGGAGAGGTGTCTGCTCTGCCTCTGGCAGCCCACGTGGGGCTCAGCACTTGGGAGGTGGCCTTTCCGAGAGGCATTTCCCATCCAGGCGTGAAACGTGTCCCCGGGAAGCGAGGCCACGTCACCCAGCTCTGCAGGGCAGGAGGTGGGAGATGGACGTCTCGTCTCTGAACCCATCTCGGGTGTCACAGCGGGAAATGCTGTTCTTGTCCCCGGCCGAGCAGAGCAGCTTGTTTATGGAGGCGAAGGCAGACACTTGACCTGGCCGGCTCAGGAAGCGCAGTGTAAACATGAAGGATCACATCTGAGTCGCTGGTCCCCT